GGGTAATACCGTAGTACCGGTAGCTACCGCCAGTTGTAGTAAGTATGGCTAATAGACTGCGCAAGTAAATTCTCTCTCTTGAGGTCGGTAACGAGCTTTCGAGTCTGTAAACGGAAGTAGCGTCTTGTCGGTCGCCGATTTCCGGAACTTCCAGAGTTCAGTCATGTTTTCTACGTTTAGCCAGTCAGGCCATTCTGTTTGAGGGATTTGCAAGACGCTATTTCTCGAGCGTCGAGGCAAGTGCTTTGCATTAATAGTACGACCGGGGAGTAAGTGGACTTTCATGAAGGCGACAATATTGCCATCTAGTGGCGAATCACTGAAACGTGTTTCTCATTCAATCTCAAATCAAGCGAAATTCGTTCCGCCACTTTTCCTTTTTTTTTTCACCTTCTTTATCGAGTTAATGAATTTTTATGTGACGTAATAATCGACGGAATATCTCATCGTTGCTCGATCAATATATATCGCGATGCCGTTCGATTTTGGTTCAGTCAAGAATTTTCGAAATCCGCGAAATCCCAAGTTTCGGCCTGGGGTTAATCAAAGTATTCGCCGGGCCAATTTCAAATGTTCCGCCGATCTAGACGTCGAGGATCGATTCAATGGTTACGTTAACGTTTTACTTCGATTTCATTCAATTAATAATCCCAAATGGATCGTTTGCAATTAAACTTTTTCCGTAAATACTGTTTTCGTCGTCACGTGAAAACCGTGAACACGTAAAACCCTCTTCTACCTGCAGTCCTTTCCTTTCGAATTTATCAAGATCCACCCTGGCTCTTCAATATATATATCTCATTTACTTTAAACGAACTTTATCAATTTATTCTCGATAAACAAATGAATGTATCGAGTACAATTTGGACCAGTCCAAAACTTCGTCCAGTTTCAATATTTCAATAAAGTCCTTTCGAGCAAGTCTCAGGTCGATAACTCGGAAAGACAATTTCATTTATAATCAGACACTAAACCGTCTCCGCCGCCTCGTAACTTTTCTCTGATTAGTTGACTCGGAAATATACTATATCTGAAAATCTATCGTATTCATGAATTTTCACTTTTTACATTTCTCGGACAGTACCTCGGCTTGAAATTCACGCCTGGCTGGATATCCGGGAAATGCGACGTGCCGTATACATACGTATAGCTATGCACGTGCATATATAAACGCATCTCAAGGACGTTCTCTTAGGTTCGCCTATATACAACATAGGTACGGCAAGAGGGTAGACATTTCCAGAGTAAAGAAGACGCGACGTAGAACGGAGACCGAATCGATCTCGATTTATGTAGTGGCTATTCGTGAACTTTGAAGAGGCTCTTGCCTTTATCGGTTTTATGGTGTCGGAATGGCGGGTGGTGGATAGGGAGGGGGGGGGGGGAGGGAGCCTTTGGAAG